ATGGAGGTTTTACCTACATTTTTTGACGGTCAGACACCAATAGTATGGCAGGATTTCGGAACGTGTACCTCTAGCTATGCTCTAACTAGCTCGCCGGAATGTCGTGGGATCTTTCCTACTCTCCTAGTTGCCATACGAACACATTCGCAAAGATGTTTTAGGTACACTTGATTTAATGTTCAAAAAGGAACTCTATAAAAGAAATAAAAAAAAATAAAAGAATGGGAATTTTAACTAACTGGCTAACCGACTACCGACAAATAGTCAGGCTATATTCCGCCGCTCTCGGGGAACTCAGATGACTTTGACCCCTTCTCTACCCTCCCTACCTTTAGTATGCCGTTTAATCGACAGCATAACCCTAATCAAGCGTATCTCTATTTGATCATCGGACTGCCTCAGGCTCTACTCAGGACAAACACAAAAGGTTTAATGTTCCATTATTATCTACTAATTATTATTTAATAATTCAAAATTTACGGGTTTGGACTTCATGACTTTCTGGATGTGCATAAACTTAATACAAAGTAATTAGATAAAGAAAGAGGAAATAATAACAAATTTATATCTAGTTATAAATGTATATGTATATGTATATAGGACTTAGGTGTAGAGAATATGGCGTAAAAGAAATTAAATTGGAAAGAATAGAAAAAAATAGGATAATAATATAAAAAGAAGGCAAACGTGAAAGAAAAATTACTAGCCGATCGGCTTTAATTATCGCACGTATGTATCTGGTTGTTCAACATACCGCAATAGAAGTTTTACAAGACGTATATATATACTTTGAAAATACCCGAGATCTCCGTTTGAGGAAGCTCGTAACTCACTCATACTTTAAACGAAATATCCGGCGTGTCCGTTGAGCTCAAGGGGCGACGTGGAAACATATTCTGAGGAAAGGAGAAAAATTATGAATATACATGTCTTCACTTCTAATTCGGATGAAACACCGATTTTATCATTTCCATACCAGTATGACGACGATTTGCAACTTAACGGCTGATCTTAAAACTATGTGGCTTTCACTTGCGCTGATTTTAATTATGGGTCATTATATACATTGTTTGTTTTTCTCTTAACGTCTATACAATACAGAACTAAGATGAATAGCTAGTACGGAATTTAATCTTTAATAAAACAAAGAAAATGGAAAATCTCATAAAGAGACTCAAAATTGATACTTTGGTACATTTTGATACGACGACTGTTAAACGGCAGTGTGGATCGCAGCAGAATAATGTTTTTATTTCCCCAGTTTGGAAACTACTACACACACAACGAAGAAACTACGTGCGAAAGCTTTAGCCGCGCGCTTAACTCGTAAGCGAGAAGGGTGACGAGTGCGGCATATTAGTTTCTCCGAATTCGCAAGAAGACCATTCTTGTCGTCTTACTCCAAGAAGTACATCAGTTTAAGTATGCATCCACATAACTTCAAGTTTCACTCTAGTATATCTTCGGGCGGCTTTTGCTAGTTTATTTGGTTGTAGTTATCGTTGGTTTATGTAGATGCTGGTTCCTGGGAAATCCGAGGTCTTTCCCAAAACTGCTAAGAATTCGATGGACTTTGACGACTTCGTTATTGAAGGGGTCAATTGGTACTTTTTCTCTTTCCCGATGTCGAACGTAGTAAGATTTCCAGTCCTAGGATACGAGACTGTTAAAACTGTTTCACTATTGTACGATTCAAATACCTCTTGTCTTCTTTAAACCAAACCGAATAATACAATCCACCAGAACTTCAATTTAATTGGCACGTGTTTGATTGCACAACGTTTTCAAATTCACTGGATATATATATATATTTGCATAGAAAAATACCTCCGAGTTCGTACAGCTTCACTAAAGCAATGATCCATCTAGAAGTTTTATCACTAGCATTAGCCCTTGCGATCGGAACTTTACCTTCCACAACCAACGGGGAAATCATACGATGCTAAGCAAAGCTTACACATAGCTTCCACGACTAACGGAGAAATCGTACGATTTCTAGTGAAGCTTTAAAACATAACTCCCACAGAACCACGCTGCTTCTCTCAATTAGATCTTAAGCCCTTCAGTGAAAGCTTCAACTACTTCTCTCTTATAATCAATCTCTTATCTTGTTTTGAAAAAGAAGAGTTAATGTTGAACGCGAGGGCTATACTTCCCAAACTGTTCGCTGGAGTTTTAGAGTCACAACTGGCCACTACATCTTATGCATCTTTAGGTTGGGATACAAAACATTTCCTCTTGCCTTTGAGACAAAAGATTTTTGCTCTAACAGCACCCCCAAAGAGAGGGGGATCTTTCGGACTTTGAAACAAAAATGAATGGGAAAAATACGAAGGAGTTGTGGGATATTCCACAGCTTGTTTTGGTGTAAGAGGTGTAATAAATAGATTTTGTGGACACTTTCTGAAGTTGGTGAAGCTGAAAACATACATTTTCCGTTTAAATTTGTAGAACTTTAACATAATTTTTCAAACAATAATAATAAAGTTTTTACGGTAGAAACCACAGTGGCAGCACAAAATATGACTGCGCCTAACAGCACAGACATTAACAGCAATTAACAAAGAGTCAATCAGGGCGAACGGCAGATATAAGCAAGACAAGGAAGAAGAAGAACAAAGAAAGGGGCAGCGGCGAATAGTTATTACTGAAGCGCACTATGGTCCAGAAGTCGTTTTTTTTGGCATAAAGTCTAGTTTTAAAGCTAGAGCCTTGAAACTTTGCACAATTATTTTGAGTATTTTTATAAAATTTCGGTTTTTTTTTGTTTTAGATTCGACCACGCCATCGACCCCCTTCCCCAGAGCACCTCAGATTTGTTTAACACAGAGCTCGAAATTAAAGCTAGAGCTTTTAAATTTTGTACATATACTTGTATACTTGTACTTGTTCTTGTTTTTTTTTTTGCATAAAGTCGGAAGTTTAAATTACATACTTCAAATTTATTACATTTTGTTGTTAAATCATTATACATATATAATATCTTATTTCAAATTATCAATATTTATATATAAACTATGGAAATTTATTACACACTAATTTTCCATTACTTTATTATAGCTAGGATAAATATCGCAGTTATGCCTTTTATTTAAAAGCCTAGTGTTTGTATACTGCTGTTTGTTGAGTGAATTTTCCAGGAGGTAAGCTCTGGTGAAAAGGAATGGGCTTTTGCAATTGAAGATGCTTTTTCGTTTCAGTCGGGTATTCAGGTGTTCTAATTGTTTTTGTTACGACAAAAGCCACGTCGGTCTTGCGTTCTTTCTTAGCAGAAACTGCCGCAGCATGCATAAGAAGATTCGTGTTATCATTATTATCATTTGCAAGATCAGACGCCAATTTCCTTTTTAATCTTGTCCCTGCATTTGTATAATGTAATGTTGGACGTCCCATTTTCTTTGGTGTCTTACAATTTTCATCAACAATAATTGTTATTTTAGAAGCCATCCATTTAGCATGGGTGGTCATAAACCGTTCCATCATTTTGTTGCACTTCAGAAGGTTTCTTTTAATGAAGGATTCAAAATTACTGATTTTTTTTATCTATTTCTCTTTTTTTTTCATTTTCCAAATGGTTGTTATTGATTTTACTGTAAATCCAATGTGAGACAGATTTTTTTTGTCGATTGTTGTTGCGCCAAATATCGATGAGATCGCTATGCAAAAACTCGAACTTTCCTGAATATTAACAAATTTAAAGAAAAGGGGCCAAAACGGGCCAAAGTTGTTACTTTCCAGTCAATTACAACATTTGTAGGTACAAACTCACATAGTTAGTTTTTCTCAGCAGAACTCAGTTCATTTGTTATATTCTACGAAACACAGGGGACGCAGTTAAATTTTCTACAAAAATGCACATAAATTGGACATTGCACAACACTTAAATCTTGGGACTACACATAAAATAACTAAATACATTAGATACTACATACCTTTATCTTCATTTTCCATTTTTAGCCGAATTTATTTGAGCAAATTTACTCGGTCGCCACGTAAAAATGTAAACAAGTAATTTGGCGCCAATTTTTTTCCCACAATCACCTGATCGATTGTTCACTTTCAAAAGCTCGCCAAAATCTTCAGGGAAGCTAAATAATTTTTTTTTTTTCATTTTTAATATGTATGATGAATTTACTTTGAGAATTTGCAAGAAAAAACGTAATCCATTCACATAAAAATTTCGACTTTATGCCAAAAAAAACGAATTCTGGACCATAGTGAAGCGGTACAAGGTTTTAAATCTGAAACCTTAAACCTTCAACTATAATACTTGAATAGCCCTGCTGGGTTGGTGCACATTTTTGGGCAGATTTGGGTTAGAACAGAAGAGGTAGTGGTTCAATTACCTCAAGTACTTGACATTTATTGAAAGATATATTTTTTGGAATGGTTTTACATCAAACCTAATTTCTATCAACATCAGACAACTTTTGTTGCTACATGTTACTTTTTATTTTGTAATTTCATACTCATATAATTTCACAAGAAAATCGTAACGAAGCTTGCAACTAACTCTTCCACTATATTTGAGAGAACGGAAAAGCGTTGAGGGTTTATTCCACACTATTTTTGAAAGCCAATGCCAATAAATAGAAAATTCTTTTTAAGTTTCCTCTTAATTATCTCTTTTACTTTTTGACTGAAAGCAAAGAGAAAAGAGAAAACAATAGGTGGCATTACAGCTAAGTGCCTTGACTAAAGGGGCATCATGTACATAGAAAAGGCTCTTGCGGATCATCCTGTGTGAGATATATTAATGAGCTGTCCGAGAGAACAGATACAGGTTTATTTTCTTGACTGTGAAAACACGCACTTCGAGGCTACGCTTGAGAGTCGATAGGGAGTCAGCCCCTCCTGGAAAGGTCTGTCTTTGTTCCTGGTCTAAATTCGAAAAGCAGTAAAATGTTCTACAATTAATAGCTGCTAAACAATACTTTGAAATTCTTAGACTTTCATGTCATCATTTTAAAACTAATATAAAAATTCATTCATATTTTTTTTTTACTTTTTCTTTGGTTTTTTTTGCAATGGTTCTTGTGGTGCTCGTGAAACTGGGCGTGGTAGCTGGCGTTGCCTTTGCCACCAAGCAGATGGGATTTTGGGAGAGTTCGGAGCACTCGGTTGTGCTTTTAGAGAATGCCAAAGAACATCTCAGGCCTTACGCAGCGGACCTGAAAGACCGGATCTGCTGCTGGAAATGCCAGGAGAAATGCAAAGAGGAATTCGAGCCGAAGCCCTGGCGAGATTCCTGGATAGAGTCCTGGAATGACACCATCAAGAAAGTCTTCCACTTCCTGAATCAGATGCCTATCTACTATTACCGCTTTTCGGAGGATGTGCAGCAAGCCGTAACCGATTTGGCCAAGGAAAAGGACCAGAAGCAAACCACTCCCTCAAAGGTGGACAAAACTCCGGCTAAATCTAATTGAAAATTGCTCCCTTTGAACTTAGCTTTGGCCAAAATCCAATCAATAAATTTTCCCGCAAAAACATAAACTTAAGTAAAATTTTCAATTTAATAGAAGAAATTTGTATTTGCTTTTAGTTCAAATGGTCGGAAGTTGCGTGACAGTGGCGAGTGCAAGAAAGAGTTCAATATTTTATTCCCTTGCCAGTTTTTGTGCAATAAAAGAAGTGACCAACAGTAAAGCAGCGCCCGCCAGCAACAAAAATCGATTTGTCTTAGAAACTGCACACTTCCAACATGTCGTATGTGTAACAAGTGTGGCACATAAATATCCTGGGCTGCAGGACTCCGTGCAGCGTCTTGGCCAGGCCACAAAAATAAATAAAATAAAAGAGCAAGTGTTGCCCGCAAAGTTTCGAGCACTTTTACCAGATACTATGATTTGATTTGTGTGAAAACATGGCAAGTTTGCGATACCATTTGTAAAGTTACCTGCAGCCATTTGTTCGCATGAGCAAAAGCATTTAGTAAGAGATATAGGTAGACAAAAGTCTCGCAAAGTATTAGACCCAGGTGCAAGACTACGGAGGACAGAAACAACTATAACACCAAAAGGGAATATAATGTTAGAAGCTTAATAGTTATAGCCAGACGAGCATATAAGGAACATTTCATAATCACATTGTTGTTAAAACGAAATATTTAAAAAAAAATTGAAATAAAAATGGGCAGCCGGAAGAGCTATGAAGAAAGAGCTAAAACCACCATTCGAATGTAGCAGGAAAAAATTAAATTTGTATATGGGTCATTGGGGACCCTTTTATCAGAGAAAAAGGTTAAAATTGTTTGTGGCTTACGTTTTAGTGTGTGACTTTTGGATGTTATTTGTAATAGCTCCAAAATGTTAACAGGAACACTGTTTAATTCTAGAAATTTCCTATTGGTTTCAAACGAATATCGACCCTGGTTCTGCTGACGTACTCTTTTGTCGGATCTGAGTAGCCTACAACTCTATGGTTACTTGTCCTTGTCGTCTTTCGATACTTTCAGCATCGGAAAAAATATAAAGTAGGCGACGACTTTTGTTATAACTAAATATACAGCAGTACAACACAAAACTCCATAAGTGCCGAGAGCTTGTTAGAAAAAATAAAAACTCGGGAAAAATAACTTACAAATAAACTGCAAAAAAGAAAAACAACTGTAAACAATATATTGAGAAGCGAGATGGTGTATACGGGCTACGATGGTTCTGCTTTGTACCCAGCTATGGGCGGGCACATGACCATATCGGGCGAGGCTTCGCCCAATGAAGTGAGGAACCTCCTGGACTATGGGGTGCTTATAAAGCATCCTCTGGAGCACACCTGGACGGTGTGGCATTGGGAGAATGATCGCTCAAAGAACTGGAGCGATATGCTTAATGAAGTGACAAGCTTCAATACGGTTGAAGATTTCTTTACGTGAGTTTTTTTTCCTATCTATAAAATGCTTATACACATTTTTACATAAGGCCACTTCGATGGAAAGTTCCACCGAGTAGAAATAATTAAATAAACACATTTGCATATCATTTTTTCCGGATATTGTTCTTTAAACTGATTGAAACTTAACCAATTGCTAGTGTGTACTATTTTATCAAGCCACCATCTCAGCTAAGCGTCTTCAACGATTATATGGTATTCAAGCAGGGAGTGCGGTAAGTTTTTCACACATCTGCAGTGTCTTTGGTGGTATTTGACGTCGGCTTCTTGCAGTCCCATGTGGGAGGATGATATTAACAAAGATGGCGGCCGTTGGATTATAATGTTGGACAAAAACACCAAGGCCATGAATGACAAGTTGTGGCAGGATTTGGTAAGTTTTAGTATTTAAACCCTAGCGCTTATGTGCCCCTCTCATTATGTTCGCTCTTCAGCTTTTGTGCAGCATTGGCGAGTGCTTCCAACACTCGAATGAGATCAACGGTGTTGTCATCAATGTGCGCAACAAGGCCAACAAGTTGTGTGAGTAGTACTCGTGGCACTCGAGGCGGATGATAGATTCTGGATGATAAATTATATTTTCATCACAGCTCTCTGGACCAGAAACTCGGCTAATGCTCACGCTGTGCTGACCCTGGGCCAGCAGTTAAAGGGACTGCTAAAATTGACCAACGTTGAGATACAGTACCAGGCCCACAAGGATGCCATGGTCCAGCATGGACCTAATTTTAATGCAATGTATAAGTTGTAAACGCCCCACTTCAAGCTCCCACAAAAACGCCACATAGTTATACTAGTATACACCTCCAAGATCCTCTCGAGATCGTTGTCGTAAATGCACAGTTCATTTTGTGTCGGAAATGTGCATCTACGATCGACTCGGAGCCACGATTACACCGATACCAGTCCACAGCACACATCACATGACAGCGAAACTCCTCTGCACTTGAGTTATGGTATATTGATATCCTCAATAAAGTATTGCATGTACTCCTGTGTGTTGTCCTTGGACCGGGATAAGTGGCTGCATATATCCCTGAAAGCCCGGTGAGAGGTAAAGGAATATGCCAAGACGTTCGTGGCCCTGGCAGAGATTCAGAGGGTTTCTGCAGGCTTGCAACCTTTCTACAGACAATTGGATGCTCCTTGTTAACCTGGAGTCGGTGGAGCTTCTGGGCGACTCAGGCGTTGTGGAGGACTATAGGTACAAAATGACCAAGAGTTATGGAATCAGCGTATACCTAGAAATACGCTGATTTCTTAGGCCGAGGTCGGAAACGATTCCTTCTGGGTGTTACACACATAAAGTGGCACCACGAGTCTAATCTACCCTTAAACTCTTCGACTATCGGGTAGAAAATATACTCTTTCGTCACGCAGATGGCTAGAGTCTAAGTGGATCAACTTCTAGGCTCTGAAGCAGTAAGCAGACAAGACAGTTGGCTTTGAAGCTGCCACAATAATAACATCTTATCTGAAAAGCTTTCGTTGAAATACTTTCTCTTGTAGTATGCCCCATAAATTGTTAAATAGAGAATAAATCTCGCACAGCAGGCAACGACGGCTTTAACATTTATTAAACTTCACACCCGCCGCACGACAAACAAAAATGTAATAAATATTCTATGCTGTAGATATATATATTTGTATAAAATTCCCTAGTGCAATTGCACAAACCGCTTTGGGAACCGCAATGCGGACGGCAAACAACTTTCGCAAATTAATGGTCAGTTATGGGTTTTTGGAGCGGGATAAGAAGGACTTGTTCTTGTGACCTCCTCGACTGCTGCTGGTTGGAATTACCATAGTCTTTTATAGTGAGTTCAAAATAATTGTATATGACTTCAACTTGATATCTATTTAGAGGGCGTTCTGCGGCGAACATCCCGTATGGGGTTTTATTGGCCACACTTTGGCTTTTTTGATAGTTCTTAGAAATCGTTTTCCCCATATGTCGTTTAACTACATTTGTCCTTAAAGAGAAATATAAAAAGATTTAAAATTAAGTACTTTTTTACAGCTTTCCCATAAAAATTTGCTGTCGACCTAAGAAAACTATTTCGCTTTTCCTAAAGTTGAAAATGCACATATGCACATGTGGTTCTGAAACCGAACGAAAGACAAAGAAGATTTTATTAAAATTGATGATGCTGTGCTTGAGTTTTTGTTTGCTAGACGACGCCTGAAAAAATGCAATAAATCATTGTCAACTTTTTGAGAGAGTAATACTTTTGCAAAAGACTCTACAATTTTATAATATTCAGCTGATTAAATAAAAAATAAATCCATTATATATTAGACCCAACAATCTGTCAAAAATATATCTTGTAATATGCAAATATTTGGCAGAGTAAATGTACTCCCAACAATCGCTGAAAAATTAAACATTCAGAAAGTTATAGAGGGTTTCGCAATAAAATTGTGTGGAGGCCACATTCCCAGTGCCCATTCCCAAATGTATAGCTGAAAAGCTGTTAAAGATGCATAAAAAAAGGAAATAGAAATAAACCCATTTCCCCATTAGCTGAGTGACACCGAAATGGGACGAGCATCACATAGTTTGAAAGCATTTTCTCCTGTCCTGAAATGGAAACAAAACGTGTTCCTGGTGACAAATCTTTTGTGGCTGTTGTCTTCCACACAAACGAAACACGTGAACCACGCACATGGTGTGCCAAAGACATTAGAGCGACACAATTAACCTTTTTAAAGGAAGACGTCGACAGATGGTGGTCCGTGCTGGAGCAGAGCAAAAAAACCGATGGATATCAAATCTCATTTGGTCCCTTTTCATATTTTTCCCCCCGACGAAAGCAATTGTACATTTTTTCAATTTTCCGCATTGACCTGCCATATACAAATTTGGACAATTTTTTCGATACTTTACGTGTTCTACCCCAAAAAATATCCAATTGCGATGAAAGCAATGCGAAAAACTGTCAATAATAATCACGGATTTTTATTGACGTGCAACACAAAGCGAATGGATGGTACACTATATATATCTATGAAAGTGCAATGGGTATGATTATGAGTATTATGTTTCCAGAGCACTCTAAGGCTCGAAATAATAAATAGTGAAAATATACTGTCTCCACTGGCGAAAATCCCTCTGTCGTTAATCAATTTTTTGCGGATAAAGCTATGTGAAAAGCTAAACAATTTTCTCGGCTCAAGTGGAAAACGTGTGCAAAAAAGGTAACCCAAAATTCAGGCGTACACAAAAGTCAAGCGAAATAATTCATTTTGGTGGCAGTTGTTCGCGAGGATATTTTTTTTCAGAAGAATGTATGTGGACAATGCTCAAATATTTATGCAAAAATCCCAAAACGCTTTTAGTTTGTGGTTTATATAGGTTTTCTTTTGTAACTTTGTGACCCCATGGGGATATGATAGCAAAGCCATGCAATTCGGTGATGGACATTTGATGGAAGGGTCGCATCACGTATACAGTGGATCGGCCAAAATTTGAATATTTTTCAGCCATGTGACACTCTAGAAGATTTATTTTGTAAATTTCGAAATCGGTCGATGATCGCACATGTAAAAGAGAGTAAAAAATCTCTAGGAAACTGATTTCTAAACTTAATGTGAACATCTTAACAGATTCAATAGAGTGGGTCAGTTTCATTCGACCTGGCAATATATAATTAAATCAAGGGCCGTTACCAGAAGCAAACCATTTGTCTAAAAATCTGTCTAAAATTACTTATTCTATAGATGTCACATTTGGCGCCTCTGTAAGTGATTATCTTTATTGCTTGCCCAAAAGACTACAAAATCTTGAGAGCCTCCGCCTAGTACAGCTATTGTGGCAGCCAAAGAGGTGTGCTATCTATTCTGTCTACTTCCCAGACGTGTCATCAGCAGCAAATCCAAAGCATGTCCAGCATTTACATATGGCATTTACACCCATCACCATTTTATTGGGCGGAGCCTATTTTGTGTGCCACACATTCGGGCTAACATTGCGTATGAATAATTTAATATTTCTGATTTTTTGTCCTCTCATTTTTGGGTGCTGTTTGATTAATTCTGTACCATGTGTAAGGCCATGGACAAAAGATGATTTCAATTTCATTTCAACCGGAGCAGGACAGGCAATCGACCTAAAAAGGACATGAATGTAATGGATATCGAATATAAGGTCTTGGAAATATACAATCGGAAGTATTGCACATGCGGTGGCTCATGCACGAACATCAAGGCAATTCAGAGTTGGCCTCGAATCAAATTAAATGCCTATCTATGTAGATCTAAGGAAAATTCATCTGCCACAACTTCGACTTGCTTTGGGAGAGAAAAACTTTTGCGTAAAGGTAAATTGGCTCGGTTCAATGTTCTGCTTTCGAATGGAAAATGCAATCGACAAGCATTTTGAGGGCAGGCAACGGGCACGGGGAGTGCCTTTGTGAGCAGTCAAAAGGCAGCAATAAAATTACTTACGTCACACAGGGACCATGGAAATCGAATCGAATTACAGGAAAAGATAAAAATGGAATATGCACATACGATATATATATAAGTATGCATGTAAAAGCGGAATACAGTCCTGATTTAAAATGTGAGCTTGCAGCACAATTTGCATACACATTTGCAGAAAATCTGTTGGCTTCTGGCTGTGTCCCCATTGTCTGCCCCAGAAGGGCGAACCCTGGCCACACGGGTGCAATGATGAGCCGAGATTCTCGTTTTCCCCCAGGTGACGGCTAATGTCTGTGATTTGCGTGCTGGAAAGTGTCACTCTCCGCTTGCCCCACTTATTGGCCCACCCAACGCACACCATTGGTAATTTCATATCGCTTACTTGCTTGTAGAAGGGACTTCTTCTGGCAAATTTCGGGAATAAATTAGAGTTCCATTGATTTCTGAAAGAAGAGAAATAAGCAAATTTAAATTTTTACCATTTGGTGCTATGGAATATTTGTACTGGTATAAAGTTTTGAACTATGGCAAGGGAATTCTCTCTGCTCTGTAGACGTGGCTATCTGTCGCCATTGCGACACACACACACACTGAAGTATTAAATTTCACAGCCTGCCACATAAGTGAGCCTTCTGCTTCTCCCCAGTTAGTTGCACTCTGAGGGCAATGAAAAATGTCGCTTAGAAAATGTGCCCGGGCTGGAAGGCTGCTGTGTGTCTGTCAGAGTCATAACCAGCTGGGTTTCTCAGGATCTCCATACCCCAGTAAGTACATCAAACTAAGGATAGATGGTGGGAGTGCGTCACAGTTGAGCAGTCAACACACTTTTGCACTTAGTCGGGGATAGTAATTTGCTCATCATTTTCAATTAAAAACTTGACGATACAATGACCTTCTTGCGGCCTAGTTGGCTAAATTGGACTCTGTTGTGGGAATTTCTAAGAAGACATTTGATATAGTTAATTTTTTGTAATTTTTGTTTAGCATGACCTGTGTAGTGTACCAGAGTTTAAATATATATTTGTGTAAACAGATATATAGGCCCTCGGTATCAGCAGATGACCATGACTGACTTAAGGACGGCGTACAAATAGGGTTGGTCGTGTGCACTCTTGCTAGGCTCGGGTCTAGCTCGCCGGATGGTCGGGGTTCTTCCTCGCCTAATTGTACTATCGTACTCCACTACATTTAATTAGTGCACTTTACGGGAACTATAAGTGATTATATAAAACAAAGGAAACTGAAATACTGATAGCGCCGACACGCCAAATAAAAGCCCTACTGAACCATTTCTATTTAGAGAGAACCTAGGTGTTGATTGTCCCTCTCTTCTGTACCCACCCTACCATGACATTGCGTTCGAGTTCTTGCATTGTCCCTTGATCTATCCTTTACTAAGGTTTACCACATTTTATAAGATCCTGGCACGGATACTCGACAGACCATTTTTATGATTTTAAAGATTCATTTCAATTCAAAAAGATTCATATTTTAATATAATGTGAGGCTTCAATTTCAATATTCATTACGTTGCAGTTGTAGAAACACAACAATTGACTTAGCTTCTAATTTGTGGGTAATATTTCCTTAATCCTAATTATCATATAAGTTTAGTTATAAATTCATTATTTTAAAGCATGAAAAACATTAGGGTATAGATATATATATATATATAAACGAGAGAATAAGAATCGAAATCGTAAACAAAAGCTAGATCAGACTGGGGTGCATTATACACACTGAGCAGACGGGTTTGAATCATTATACACTGTATGCATATCTACACTTTCAAGTCAATAGGCTCTTTTGACCAAACTACTTTTTGCTGTACATAATTACTCACTCCGGCGTTATTGTCTTACGCTGATCGTTGGGCCCAATGATGTCGTAGATGTTGACCGCAGCTGTTTAAAATATGGAAATCATAAATATATAATGCATACAATACAATTACGCTACAAACACCGTCGCATAGTCATCAGTCAGTTGTTTTGGTTTTCATAATACAGACAGAAATTTAATTGTTATGCTCTATCGCGAAAATTGAACCAAAAGGTAACAAACGAAAGACAATTTAGTGTGCATATGCACATATGTATGTAGGTATGTACGCGCGTAACATCAAAGAGGGGTGTTAATAAAGTTTCAGTTACATTACGTTAAACTGCTGATGTTTATGCGTTGGAACTTGATAATGAATTAAATGTAAATTGGACAAAACTCGATCCTGTGCTGCTGCTTTGTAGACTGTTGACCGCCTGAAGTTGGTTAGAGGTCAACAGGTGCGATGTATATGGTTCCTGGCCGTACTGACGAATCTTCCGCCAAGCCTGTATTTAGTTATTTATGTCTGAGCAGCACTAAATATTCTTGGCGATTAAGGCTGATCTGTTCCACTTGGATCTTTGGAGATTCCGACTTGGTGGCAATATAAGGTCCAGAAAACATGAATTATGGTTGGAGTTGGAGAAACCTCGACAACTGTTCGCCTAAGCCAGCTCCCAGGGTAGTCTTCTCGAGACTATACCGCGATGGGGCAGCTTAGGTACACCTCCCTGCAACATAGGTTATGTCAGCACGTGCACGGCACTAATATGAAAACATACCTCTTTTCCCAAATATATCTGCACTAAATTCTTGTCATTCACTGACCACTGAACTGTACGGCACTTGTAACTATATGCTTCCAGCATATATTTGTGGAAATATATATATTTTCCGGATAGCACTATATATATGTGTGTGCAATATGTATGTTGCTCGCACTCGGAAATTATCACGTCTTTACAGATCGATCAACTTTCTTATATTGTTCAAAGCAGTAATAGACGATGGACTGAGTAGCCAGTGCAGCAGAGCTTTTGAGCTTTTTACTAACTGTGAAATCGTATGATCCAGAACATTCGCAGCAGCATAAAACGATCGTCTAATGCACAGCATAGCTTAACTGTGCAATCGTACGATTGCCGTCTATGCTTCCCACTGTCCGTCGCTTGTATGTGTTCGTGGGCGTTCGGACTTAAGAGCGGCTAAGGCTTTGATCCAACCTTAAGAGCGGCTAAAGCTTGATCGTTCGAAATATCACTAGGGGGTCTCACGAGACGAAAGAAGATAACCAATTCCCTATATTTTGTGCTGGCTACTACACCACAGATAATTATACAAGACCTGCTCGACGAATAATTATCTGAAGAACTTGATTAGGAGAGATTATTTCCTGATTTGAATGTCTTTCAGATGATACACGCCGAGATATTTCTTGTTCTCATCGACCAATTCGTAATAGTACGGACTTCGCTTTTTAATTACCTGAGCGGGAATGAACACAGGGGCTAGTTTAGAACTAAACTTTTTTATAGCACTACTTTGTGTGAAATTTCTAGCATATACCAAATCTCCAATCTTTAATTGTGTATCACGGCAGCGCAAATTGTATCTATGCGAATTTTCTTCGTGTGCCTTATTGACATTCGCTTTAGCCTGTTGCCGGATTAGCTGCAAGGAATCTGGGTTCTCCATTCTAGTATCGTCGTTCAAAAGGTCTAGTTTACGCAAGAGTGCGTAATCCTTCCCATTCAACATCATGTTTTGACCAAATGCTAGAAAATATGGAGAATACCCTGTACTCCTATGTAAGGTAGATCTCAATGAACCACTAATGGCATTCAGGTTACAGTCCCAATTGGAATGTTCGTTACCGATATAAGCTCGTATCGCAGCTATCACGGATCTGTTCAGTCGCTCGCTGGCATTCGCTTGCGGTGAATAAATAGCTGTGCATTTTTGTGTTATACCGAAGCTATTTAAAAATGCCTGAAAGTAGCTAGATTTAAATTGGGATCCATTGTCTGACAAGATGACTTCTGGCACCCCAAATGTATAAAAGAGAGACCCTTCCAGATATTCACAGATCTTAGGGGCTGTAAATTTCTTCAAGGGACACAGAAAATGGAACTTAGTATTGTGATCAACAACTATGAGCAATCCTATGTTTCCCTTTTTCGTGCGTGGGTATGGTCCTAAGAGATCTATGTATAATTTCTGAAACGGCCTATCCGAAGTGAATGGTTTACCCATAGGAGGTCTAAGAATCATATTCGGACTCTTGGTCGTGCGACAAACGGTGCATTCAGATATGTACTTGCGCGTCTGGCTAACCATGCGAGGCCAGAATAAATATCTTTTAAGCTTCTCTATGGTTTTACTCATCCCACAATGTGCGGAGCTAGGGGCGTCATGAGCTTGATATAATACGTTCGTAATTAACCCTGACGGAACCCAAAGTTTCCATGATGCGTTCTCTTGAGACTCATCTCCCGAAGCGAATACTGTCCTTTTGAAAACTTGACCGTCTATCACTTTCAAGTCTGGGAACTTACTCTGATTCTGTTGAATACTTTCTATTAAACTCAGATACTCAGCTGATTTGAATTGATCTGAGTCTAGATCAACCATGGGGTTTATTTGCGTGAGCTCCTCTATAGCCGGTTCATCCTGACGCGATAGAGTGTCAGCGACAACATTCAGTGTCCCCTTTCTATGTAGGATATTAAATGTGAAACTACGCAATTTCATAGACCATCTGGCTAATCTACCCGATAAATCCTTTTGTTGCATTAACCATTTAAGTGCTGCGTGATCGGTTATGACTACGAAGTCCTGTCCCTCAATATAAGAGCGGAATTTTTTTATTCCCTTTATGACTGCTAAGCACTCCAGTTCGGTAACCGAATAATTACGTTGTGCCTTGGATAATTTTTCTGACATGTAAGCAATTGGCAATTCAACGCCGTCGCGTTCTTGAGCTAAAACACAACCGATTCCGTAAGTGCTAGCATCACAGAGCAAAATAAAAGGTTTTGAGAAGTCAGGAGTTATCAAAATGGGTGATGCGGTTAAACAGGACTTTAAGGTCTCAAACGACTGTTGAGCATCATCATTCCACTGTAAATCTTTTTTCTTCTTAAGCAACTCGGTTAAGGGAAAACTAACGGTAGCATAATTTTCAACGAAACGTCGGTACCAACCGGATAACCCCAAAAATCGACGCAGTTGCTTAACGGTAACTGGCACAGGGAACTTCGAGATGGCCTTGATTTTGTCTGGATTTGTCTTTATCCGACCATTACCAATAATAAAACCCAAATACGTGATTTCTTTTATGCAAAAGTTTGATTTCCCTATGTTAATGGTTAGATTTGCTTTGCGTAGACACAACGCTATCTCCTGTAACAACAGTAAATGCGACTCGAAATCCTCTGATAAAACAAGTAGATCATCTAAATATACGAATACACGTGTCCGAAGATGAGCTGGAATAACTCGATCCATTAGTCTACAGAGAGTTTGAGCGGCATTGCAAAGACCAAATGGCATCATTTTATATTGATATAATGGTCGGTTAGGCACTGTAAATGCAGTATACTGTCGCGATTGTTCATCC